CTCTCGCATAAGATCCCAAGTCGTCCGAATCATCACAGCTCTCAGGCCAGCTGGGCGTGGCCGACGAATCTGCACGAGGTAATCTCTCTTCCATTCGTCGCCTGCGACTGTGATCCCTGATCCTTCTAAGTATCATTATTCCATAAAGAATTGCTGACTTTTACACTGGGCTCAAAGCGCAGAGCAGCATCCAGGATCTGACCCCAGCCCGCACCAGCCGCGCCGAGAGATGAAAATTGATGAAGGAAAACAGCTATAGTAAACAGTCTGGAGATTCCTCAGAAAACTAGGGTTGGATGTCCCATTCAAAGTACTTTTACCCTCCTGTATATTTTTCTAGAAGAACTGAAAACATCATAATACAGTGATATATCTTCACCTATATTTATAGCACTGGAATTTGTCATAAGTAAATCTTAGAAACAACCAAAATCTTTTTCAACTGAGCAATGGCAAAACTAAAAAATGTGGTGTTCTTATGCAATGGTATATTGCACAACTATAAAAAGAAAAAATTCATGATCACCAAACCAGGATTTCAAAACATTCTAAAGAAATTTCAGAAAGAGGAAATAAGGGCAACAATGACAAAAATTCTAATAAAATCAATGTTCAAAGAAGGCTTCAAAGTTAAGCAGAAAGGCAAATTTCAGTTGATATCAACAGCAAAATAAGCCAAAAACAATAAGTCAAACTTATCAGCAATAAATTTCAATCAGAATAATATCCACTACTCAATAAAAGTTTTCTGATAATATTAAAAAGAAAATTAACAATGATATGCTGTATGGAACAAACACATTTATCCCTAATGGAGATTCATAAATTAAATATGGGGAGTGCAAAATAATTTCACACAATGCGAGCACGCAATCAAGTAGGAGGAGCTATATGTCTTCAGGCAAAATGTAATTTAATCCAGAACTGATGAGAAGAGACAAAGGAATTCACCATGTATTTGTCAAGAGAACAATTCAACAGGAAAAGATAACAATTTTAAATATATATTCACCAAGCACAAAAACACTAATATTCATTAAACCAACACTACTAGATGCAAATACCTTATCAAGGTCTATGAAATAATAGGAGCAGAATTAATTGTTCCACAATAGCTAACCAGAGATGTCAGCAAATAAGTATGAGTGCAACCATATCATTCAGCAAATGACCATAGCATACCTGTGCAAAATACTCCATGCTATAACAAAAGAATAAACATTTTTCTCAGTAGCACATGAAACTTTCTCCAAAATAGACCATATAGCAGAATATAAGTAGTATTTGAAAAATAAAAATAAAAACTATTCCATTCACTTTGGATCTTAATGCAATTTAACTTGAAATTAATGTAAAAACACCACAAAATTAATAAAAACACATAGAAATTAAATGAAACACTCTTGAATAAAGTGTGACTCACAAAAAAAATCAAGGAAGAAATCAAAGGGCCAGCCTGATAGCTCAGCAGACTAAACTGCCTGTTTAGGCAGAGCACAGTGGACAGGTTCAATCCCCAGCTTACCGTGCAGCCTGTCCCCAGGGTGCACTTAGACAATGATGGAGACTGGGTGTGGTGGCATGCAACTATCATCCCAGTTCTTGGGAAACTGGCTGTAAGTAGGAGAATCACTACAAGTCTGATCTACCTAGAGAGTCCCTGTAGACCCTGTCCTAAACACAGAAAAAAAAATCAAATGATGTTGCCAGTACATATTACCAGAGCCCATGGGACAAAATAAAAGCAGTTATAAGAACGGAGTAAAAATTAATAAAACTGAGAATAAAAACAATACAAAAATATATGAGTTACAAGCTAGTTCTTCAAAAGAACAAATAAATTAGACGACTTTTAAAAGTTAACTTTATTGGTACAATTTACATACACAAAATAATCATATTAATCATAGGAATTTATACCTTGATATAATATGGTTTAATTTTTCCCCAACCCCTCTGCATTTAACTCATTTATCCTTTTATTTTTTCAGTACTGGGGATTGAACTCGGGACCTTTTGCTTTCCAGGCAAGCGCTTATTCTACTGCACTATCTCCCCAGCCCCCCCTTTTATTTCTATTGTAGAGAAGGGTCTACAGGGTGTTCAGAGTTTCACTACTAGATCAAATTCATCATGCTACGTCTATTTACAGCTTCCGAAGTGTTGGGATTACAGGAGCTCCCCACCACGCCCAATCTCAGTAGCCATCTCAGGGTACTTCAGAGGCGGGGCCAGCACAGCAGGCCCGAGGAACAAACCCCTGACCCCTACACCTGTTTGCAGGCTCATTAATCTGCTGAGCTATGGGGCTGTACCTTATCTTATTCTTATTTATAAAAGTTTTCTTCATCTCTCCCTCCCACTCTCTTGTTCCCCCTTCCCGTTTGATCTTTCCTTCCTATTCCCCAATATCTATTATGTATGTTGGACATTATTTACACTTTTATAATTTATTTTTAAGGAGACCACAAAATATTATTAAAATGGAAAATATGATATAGATTTTCACTTAACAAAGTAATATGAATTTCACTGTATCTGTTGTAATGCATTCCAGCTAATTATTCATGTAATGTATCCCAGCCAATTATTCATATTACCAGATATTTTAGTTTCTCACACCACAGAAACTGCAATATTAAACACATGTGGGCTGGGGAGGCACTTCAGTAGAATAAGTGCTTTCCCAGCAAGTGCAAGGGCTTGAGTTCAATCACTGGTTCTGAAAAAACTAAAACAAAAACAAAATGTGTTCATTTCCTTGTGCTTTTTTTTAAAATAAGAAATATCTCATTTCTTCTAAAATTTTTTCTCTTGTACATATATTCAGTTCACACAGTACAATATCATCTTGAGGAACAGTTACATATAAATATTATATTACAGCATGTTTGCCTTTCCTTTATTAATTCCTTTCCTCCTATTACCCCTCCTTGCTCCTTCAGTTTTACTTCACTTTTCATTCTTACTGATATCATTTGCACCTCTAAATGTCATAACATATATCCTATGTTATGATGTTAGAGCATACTTTTTTGAGACAAGATCTTGCTTTCCATTTGTCTTGAATTTATGGTGATCCTCCTGCCTCAGCAAACTGAGTGTTGGGATTTCAGGTGTGTCACAACAGGCCAGCCTCTGGTCTATAAAGTTTACATTAATTGGAAGTGCTAGGTTCTTGTATATGGCACATTTTTATTTTTTTCTATTTTCTCTAATAAAATGCGGTATCTATATATGAAATATTACTTCACTACAAAGAATGACAAATTTGATATCATTTCCTTCTTTTTATATAATGAAGTTTATTCAGCCCAAACTCTGGCCAGGCGAGTGTGTGGGAGAGCTTCTATGCTCCCCAGTGCCCGCTGGACAACTCAGGGCCCAGCCCAAGTCCAGCTTGTGAGTGAGAACTTCGGCCTTGCTCTTAGGACCTCTCTAAACCTCTCCAGAGCCAGCCCAGGTCCAGGCCAAGCATGTGAGTGAGGACTTCCATTGTGCTCTCTGGACCAATCAAGACCCAGCCCAAGCCCAGGACTGGCTGGTGTGTGGGAGAGCTTTTCACTCACCTGCACTCTCTGGACACCTGAAGACCCAGCCAAAGCTCAGGCCCGACCAGTGCGTGGGAGAGCTTCCGCAATTCCCTGCACAAGCTGGACACTGCCTGACCAAACCCAGGCCTAGCATGTGAGTGAGAACTTCTGCTATACTCTCAGGACCCCTGCAGACCAAGCCCAAGCCCAGGCCTGTGGAGTGTCTGGGAGAGATTCCACGATCCCTTGCACCCCATGAACCCCTCCAGGCACAGCCCATGCCCAACTGTGAGTGAGAACTTTGCTGCGCTCTCAAGATCTCCCCAGACCCAGTCCATGCCCAGGCCCAGCCAGTGTGAGCTATTCAACTGGCAACTCCCACAAATTCTGCAATTAAATAGAAGGCTACTTATGAGATAGGCATCTTTTACTGAATTGTACTTTCATATTATTCACTTTCACACTCATGGAAGTTTACACAGAGAGGAACAGAGTGAATTGGCATCTACATGAGCTTTGAAATGAAGAAACTTTCATAGAAAAGCCAAAAACATATTTTTCAAAGACAGAACATAGTGCACAATCTCAGATATTTTAGTTTGAATGCAGTCTTTAAATTCAGGAGAAAGGGAACCGGGAAATGTCTTGGGGATGGGAAGATTCTCAGTAAATAAGTGTTTCCCAGGTAAGCATAAGGGCCTAAATTCAATCCATGGTTCCGAAAAATAAAAAAGTAAATAAATAGATAAGTAAATAAATAAATTCAGAAGAATGATTAACAGACAATGTATCAAAATGTTAATCGTGACATGTAGTATCTTTAATATAGAAGCATTGAAATCCCTTGCAAAAGTGAGTTCCAATAGTGAACAATCATTGGCGTTAAAATCATAGAATTTAAATTGTTTATATGAAAGGAAAATTTATCATTTAATTCGTGTGAACTTAAACAGACATACCACAGTTGTCAGCAGACTAATTGCTCGGGATTTTCTTTTGGAGAAATCATGTATTGGCTTCTTGCTTTTTCTGCAGCTCCAGTTCAGCTGCCTTTTGTACAGCTACATCAACCAGCAGGTAGAAATTGCTGAAATCTGCGTATGCCTCTGGCCCCACAGATTCCGGAAAAGTAGTGGTGTCACAAATGGACATCTCAACCTTCTCCTTCAGTGGGGCTTCTAGGATGAGCTGTTGGCTTGAAGATTTCTCCACAACCTGTAGCTTCTTTGGTGGCTCCTGGCTTTTTGTCGATGGAGACAGGGGGAAGCATTGAACTTTTTCTGGATCCACGGGTCCTGACTGGACCAGTGAGGAAGAAGTAGTGTCTGGCAGTTGAATTTCATCAGCATCCTTGACTTTTAGGTATCCGGAGCCATCCTTATCCTGTTCCAACACTTCCGGAAGAAAGTATTTGTCAGCATTTACAAACCAATTGATGATCTGCAGAAAAGATAAATTGGTCTGTCCAGACTGCATTTGCTTCTCTACATCTGATGGATAGGGTTCAAACCGGTCGTCAGTGAGGCAGTCATGGAGAATCTTCTCAGACTCGACTGTCAGGAAGTCCTTCCTTTGTCTCTTGCTCTCTGGTGGGGCAAGAAGCTCATCTATATCTGTGCTATTTCTTGATGTGTCTGAGGTGTTTTGTTTCGGGCTTTGGGACTCAAGTGAAGTTTCCTCAGCATCCTCCATGTTCCCAAGTTCCCAACTGTCACGGAAATATGGGACTAGTGGCTTAGGACTAAAATAGGCCTGGGAGAGCCAATTTGGGAAGTTTTTGGAAGGGAAGGCTCACCTGTTGGTTCCTCAGCAGCTAAACACTGTTGAGAACCTCTGAGAATTCTGGCTTTGTGACCTCAGAGTCTGTCTAGGTTGCGCAAGCGCAGTAGCTAGCCCCCACAATTCCGCCCACATTTTCTACTTCTCTGTGACCTTTTACACAGTGCTCCCTGTTTGTTTGTTTTTAGTAGCTGCAAAAGGTACTCTATCCACTTATAGCTTTCTAGAATTTTATATCTCTGCCACTCAGACCAGCTTTCATTAAGTTACAAAGTCCATTTCTTTTTCTTTTTCTTTCTTTTTTTTTTTGGTTTACTTTTGGCTGACTCAGCCGGCCCAGAGGATGGGGCTGGTGTAGTATGTGATCCTGGGGATGAACTGTCCTCCCTGAGATTGGCTACACTTGGGTAAGCAGGCACATTTGACCACTGAACTATCTCACAGGCCCCTAGCAAAGTGTATTTCTATTAGTAAGAATAGGTGACTCTTTTTTTGTCTTCGCAGTTTTCCTCTGGTATTGCTCTTCCTGTCTTATTCCTCATAATTGTTTCACTGAGTTCCATTTTGGTGTTTCTGTTTGCTATTGCAATTAGATCAGCTGCAGTGGCCTCTAAATCTGCAAAATAAATAAATAAATAATAAATAAAATAAAAATCCAAATTACTGACTGGGAGAAACAATATAAAAGTACAAATGGAAAAAAGAAAAAAAAACCTCTATTTGTGTGGGAGTAAATTCACAAAAGTGTCCCTGCAACCAGAGATCACAGAACCTGTGGAAAATCTCTCTGGCAGGAGTAAAGAGAAGCTTCTTGTGCCAGAATATCAATAGATGTTTTAAAAGAATCTAGAGTGTACCGCATCTTTCAGTCACTTTTTTTTTCTGTATTGCTGGTAAGCATGTGATCTTGATTGAAGTGGGTCCTTTAGGGAAGTAGGCAAAGCTAGGTTCACCCAGTTTTAGAACAGGGCAATGAAACCAATGAGGAAAGCCTTTTATTTAAGTTCATCTGCTACAAAGAATGACAATTTTGATATAATTTGCCCAACCCCAGGCAAACATGTGAATAAGAACTTCCCCTGTGCACTCAGGGCCCCTCAAGGCCCAGCCCAAGCCCAAGCCCATTAGAGTGTGGGAGAGCTTTTGCACTCACCTGCGCTCTCCAGACCCCTGCAGCCCCAGCCCAAGTCCATGTCTGACAAGTGTTTGGGAGAACTTCTGCCTTTTCCTGTACCCCCAGGACACCGTTGGAGGCAGCCCAGGCCTGGCATGTGAATGAGAGCTTCTGCCAGTCTCTTGGGAGCTCTCCAGATCAAGTTTAAGCCCAGGTATGTTAAGTATGTGGGTGGTCATTTGTACTCCACTGTGCTCTGTGGATGCCTGCAGACACAGCCCCGGCACAGTTGTGAATGAGAATTTTGCTGCATTCTCAGACGCCCCCCTAGACCCAACTCAAGCTGAGGCCCTGTGAGTGAGTGGGAGAGGTTCCAGGCTCCTTTTTGCCTCCTGGATCCCTCCAGAACCAAATCAGGACTACTTCCGAGTGAGTCCTTCTATGCTGCTCTCTGAAACACTCCAGACCCACCTCAGACTTGGCATACAGGCACAGCATTAAATGCTGCAGCTGAAGTCCCTAAAGACAGGCTAGGGGTTGGAACCACCAAGCAAATCCAGGAGCCACACATCTTGCCAGAGGGGCACAAAAGTCTCAATTCCAGGGGCTGCAGTAGGAAGAAGCTGAGCACAACAGCCAGACAAAGCCATGCACAACTAGATGAATTCAAACTTAGTGGATTTGCACCAGAACTGCAGGAGGTGCTAAGGTTATAACTGCATCAAAGCTCTACACCAAATATCAGATGACAGTGCTATACAAAATGAAAAACACTAGGAGCAAAATGCAATCTCAGGCCCCAATACCAAGCAGAACAAGCTCAGAAGACAATAGCACAGAAAACATGTTGAATCACACAGTTGAAATGTCAGAAGTAATAGCATCTGAAGTAACCAAACATCTAGAGAAAGTTATAGAGGAGTGCAGATCAGAATTAGCCTCTGATATAAAAATCTCTCAAATAGTAGTCTCTGAAGTAAAGAAGCAAATGCAGAAACATAGAAGAAATCAGATTAGAAATAATCTCTGAATTAAAAAATATAGAATAACTATAATGAAGGAAGAATTGTTTTTTAGGAAGACACTGATAAAAAATAGAAGAGAATAGAAAAACAATGGAATCCTTCAAAGAGCAATATAGAAATGAAATAGATCACATGAAGCCTAGTCAAAGGGATACAGAGAAACTTAAAATCACAAAGATTGCAAAACCATATGAGAGAAAGTGAAGACAGACTTTCAGATGTTGAAGATGCCATTGCAGCTAGAGAAAAGGTAAAAAAAGATAAAAAAGACAAGAATGCGGAAAAAAATCATCGTCTGCAAGATGATGCATAGATGAACAATGTGAGACTAAAAGTCATCAATGAGGAAGAAAGAGTCAATATAATTACATAAAAAGAATATGAGGAGAAAAAGCATTAAAAAACTTCCCAAATATGTGTGAACAATCTGACATTCAATTAGAAATGAAAAGGGTAAGACTACAATGCACTCTGTGGAAATCTAAAACATGATCAATACTTACTTTGAGGACATGTATGCTAATGGAACAGAATACTGAATAAATGAACAGGTTGCTACATACATATGAATTGTGAAAAGTGAATGAAGAAAATATAAAAATTCTAAATTACTCAATATCAGTCAATGAAACAGAAAATATGTAATTAAAACTTAACAACAACAAAAAAAGAAAGCCCAGTGAGTCCTGATGTATTCTGTGATGAAATCTATACCAAATTCAAAAACAATACTCCCAAAGCCATTCCTGGAAACAAGTATTATCCTAATTTCAAAATGAGAGAAGGACCAAACCACAAAAATGAACTCCAGGCCAAACTCTCTAATGAAAATCAGTGCAAATACCCTCAACAAGATCCTAGGGAAAAGAATGTAGCCAATCGTCAGGAAGATTATTAACTATGCCTGAATAGGATTCATCCCAGGTATTCAGGGAAGGTGTGACCTGTGCTAATCAATAAATTTAGTACAGCATATCAACAGAGGAAAGACAAAAACCATATGATCAACTCACAAAAATCATTTCACAAAATCCAACCCACATTTATCATAAAGATTTTATAGAAAATTAGAATAGAAGCTCTTATTTCAATCTGATTCAATATTTATGACAAATACCCCACAACATACTAAATTGCCAAAAACTGAAAGTTTTCACTCTAAAATTAGGAACAAGATGAAGATGTTATCTTAGTAACTTCTCTCCTTTTGGGACAAACACCTAATACCCAGAATTAAGTAAGGAAAGGTTTATTTAGCTCACAGTTGGGGGAGGTTTAAATCCATACTCAGTTGGCTCCCAGGCAGAGCAGCATATGGCAGAGATCAGCCTTTGATCACCGTGGACAACATCAAATAGGAGGGGCAATGGCTTTTGCAGCAGAGGAAAGCCTTTCTCTGCTCCTTACATTACAATGCAGATTACCCACCCCAGAACAAGAATAACATGCAAACCTATAATTCAAGCATTTTATTAAATACAAACTCTAGAAGCCACCCCACGATTGCATGAGGCTTTGGCTGGGACAGTTAGACACAAACCATAACAGATGTCCATGATCATTACTCTTACTCAATCTAATTCTGGATAAATTAGCCAGGAGATTTAGAAATGAAAATGAAATAGAAATAATAAGAACAATACAGAAAGAAGTTCAGTTACCATATTGATAGATGACATGATACTCTACATGGAAGACAACAAAACTCCATCAAAACATTTGTAGGTTAAATAGCAAATCTCAGTAAAGTAGCTGTGTACAAAGTCAACATGTACAAGTTATTAGTATTTCTGTACACTAGAAATAAAATCACAAAGAGATAAAAAAGGGTATACAG